GCCACGGCGGCGCCCCAGGCGGCGCGGTCGCCGTCGAGCCGCCGCAGCGCGACCCCCGGCGCCGTGGCGGCGATGCGGTCGAGATGGCCGAACAGCAGGTCGTCGGACCGGGCCAGGCAGGTCACCGGACAGGGCAGCCGCGCCGCCCCGGCCAGCGCCGCCGCGCTGTCGAAGCGAAAGGCCGCCGCGTAGGCGGTGCGATAGCCGGAGCCGGCGGACAGGATGTCCAGCACCACCTCCTGGTGGCGCGCCAGAGAGGCGCCGCCCCGGCTCAGCCGGCGCTCCGCCCGGCGCTCGTACCAGGGGAAGTAGGTGAACTGATCGCGCACCCGCGACCAGAGCCAGGCCAGATGGGCCCCGCTCCACGCCGGCTCGAAGGCCGGTAGATAGTGGTCCAGCGCCTCGCGGCGCTCCTGCGGCGTGAAGCAGGGCAGACCGTCGAGGGCCAGGGCCGTGGTGCGCTCCGGGTAGCGCAGGGCGAAGGCCAGCGCCACCACCGCGCCGGTGTGGGTGCCGTAGACGCCGCAGCGCGCGACCCCCAGCGCCGCCAGGGTCGCCGCCAGGGCGTCGGCATAGTCCTCCGCCTCCGGCTGCGCGAGCGGCAGCGGGTCGGACAGGCCGTAGCCCGGCGTGTCGAAGGCCAGGACGGTGAAGCGCGCGGCCAGCATCCGGAGCAGCGGCAACAGGGCCACGCTGGAGCGCGGCGACTCGTGCAGCAGCGCGACCAGCGGCCCCCGGCCGGCCAGGCGGAAATGAACGTCCCTTCCGTCCACCGAGACCGTTCGCCGCTGGATCGGAAAGTCGTTCATGGCGCTCAGCCCCGCCGCTCTGTCGCCGCCGTCCGGCGCCGCCGGCCGCCGCACAGGCGGCCCCCGGGACCGGCCGACGCGGCGCCGGGTACGCCGGCGGCGCGGGGAGGAGGCGCCTCAGGCCGCATCGCTGACCCGCTTGCTCTCCGGCAGGCGGAAGACCCGCAGGGCGTTGTCGCGCAGCAGCTTCTGCCGCGAGTCCGCGCGCAGCCCCAGCTCGCCGATCTCGCGCATCGCCCGTTCCGGATCGATCACCGGCCAGTCGGTGCCGAACAGCACCTTCGCGGCGCCGTAGGTGTTCAGGTAGTGGACGAGCTGCGGCGGCCAGTGGCGCGGCGCGTAGGCATCGACGCCGATGAAGACGTTCTCGTGCTTCCAGGCCATCGAGATCATCTCGTCGGTCCAGGGCACGCCGATGTGGATGCCGATGATCTTCAGTTCGGGAAAGTCGATGGCGACCTGGTCGAGACAGATCGGCCGTCCGACGCTCGGCAGCCGCCGCTCGCGCGAGTAGACCAGATTGTGCCCGACCTGCAGCATCACCGGCACGTCGAGCTCGCAGCACTTCGCGTAGTAGGGGTACCACTTGGCGTCGTCGGGCGCGAGGCCGAACCAGTGCGGATAGAAGTGCGCGCCGACGAAGCCGAGTTCGGTCACCGCCGTCTCCAGGTCGCGCAGCCCCTGCATGCCGCGAAAGGGATCGAGCCCGGCCAGGCCCGAGAACTGCTCCGGGTCGGCGGCGCAGACCTCGGCCACCCGCTCGTAGGAAATCTCGAAGGAGCCCCGGATCTTCAGGTCGCCGGCCCGCACCGCGACCAGCAGCGAGCGGTCGATGCCCGCGCGGGCCATCTTCTCCTTGTAGCGGGGAATGGAGACGCCGTCGCGCACCTCCTCGGGCATGCGCACCTGTCTCTTGAAGGTCTCGTCGATGCCCGTCTGCCCGCCGCGAACCTCCGCCTCGGTAAAGAGATTCGCGACAATGTCGATTGCACCCACGCGCGCCCCCTTCGCCATAATCGCGTGAAGGGTGGCGGCACACCCGCAAAGCGTCAACAGAATTCGATCACATCGCGCAATGATTCTTCATTTTGTTTCACGATACAAAATTCTGGTCTCCGGACTCCTCCCAGCGGCTGCGATGGCGCAGCGCCTCCGGGCGCCGCATCATGGCTGCGTAGATCTCCGCCGCCGCCTCGCGCAGCACCTCGGCCAGCTCGCGGATGCGCGCCTCGTCCATGCGTTCGCTGATCGCCGAGAGCGCCAGAGCCGTGACCGGCCGGCCGCGCCGGTCGCAGATCGACCGGGCCAGCGAGGTGATCCCCTGCCCCTGCCCCGGCTCCTGCCCCGGCGCCTGCCGATGGCGATAGACGGCGTAGCCGAGGCGGCGGCAGTCGGCGAGCGCCGCCTCCACGGCCGCCCGCGCCTCGCCTTCCGTGAAGCGGTGGAAGCGCGGCGCGTTGGCATCGAGAATGTCCTGCACCTCGGCCGCCGACAGGTCCGCCAGGATCGCCACGCCGGTGGCGCCGACGCCCAGCGGCACGCGCGCGCCGATATCGTAGGGCAGTGTCTTGATCGGATAGCGGCCGGTCTTGACGTCGACGCAGACATAGTCGTTGCCGCCGCGCAGGCAGAAGAAGGCCGTGTCGCCGGTCGCCTCGGCCAGACGCTGCAAGGACTGGCGCGCCACCTCCTGCACGTCGTAGCGGTTCGACGCGGCCGAGGCCAAGGCGAAGAAGTCCAGGCCCAGGCGGTAGGTCTTCGCCACCCGGTCCTGTTCCACGAAGCCCTCGTCGCAGAGCGTCAGCAGCAGACGATGGGTCGTGCCGCGATCCAGCTCCGCGGCGGCGGCGACATCGCGCAGCCGCGCGCCTTCCGCCGGCGCGGCGGCCAGCACCTTGAGCAGGCGCGAGGCCCGCGTCACCGCCTGGACGGTGCCGGGCCGCCTGGCCGCCCCCCTCCCCTCGTCAGCCGCCTCCGGCTCGGTTCCGCCGACTCCCGGCACACGCGATGACTCCATCACTCCACCTGCCGCTCTTCAGCCCCCGCGCGACGGCCGCGCCGCCGACGCCGACGAAGTATAGGCGGCGCCCCGATCCGAGTCATGACCGGGCCGCAGGCATGGGCGGCACCGCCCCGCCCGTGAGGCGCGAACAACCGGCGGGGGAGCCGCGCGCACGCCGCTCTTGTATCGCTTTATGCGAAAATGACGAATCGCATCTCGTATAGTGTGATTTTTTCCGATCCCGCGTTGACGCTTTGGAGACATCGCTCTGACCTAGCCGCGTCGTTTCAGGGCTGGAGGGAGCAATGACCCCGGACGCGCGCATCGTTCTCGTCAGCGGCGCCAGCCGCGGGATCGGCCTGTCCGTCGCCGAGACGCTGCTGGCCGAAGGTTACCGCGTCAGCGCCGGCGCGCGCGACACCGCGGCCACGCAGAGCCGCCTGGGCGAGCATCCGCGCCTCCTGGTCTGCCGCTACGACGCGCAAGACCCCGACAGCCAGCGCGCCTGGGTGGAGCGCACCGTCGCGACCTGGGGCGGCATCGACGCGCTGGTCAACAACGCCGGCATCGCCGAGCCCTTCGCCATCGAGGACGAGGACGAGGCGGTGCTCGACCGCCTCTTCGCGGTCAACGTCAAGGCACCGCTGCGCCTCACCCGCCTCTGCCTGCCCCATCTGCGCGCCAGCGGCCGCGGCCGGGTGATCAACGTCTCCTCGCTCTCCGGCAAGCG